TGTTTTGGCCACAAAGCATAGGTTACAAAGGACATTCTTTTTTATGCAGTGAAAATGGAGTAGGTGGCAGCTATACTTTTAACTGCAAGGGTGGCATTTTTACAATGGCATTTCTTCCCATCTCTGTTAATGGAAAGTGTAACCGGTATCTGCCTTCATTCATTCTGGACTTATATTTCTGCATTCTCTTGAATATAGGTAAATAACTCCCCACGGCTACAAATGTTGTCTTTTGTTGAAAGACGAGTGACAAGCTTAGGGTCTGTATGTGACTTGGTTTTTTGAAATCATGATTATTCTCATGACTGTTTTATCACTATGACACTGTGCTCTAAGTTTTAATCCTTCCTTTATTCCAAAGTTTTTGAAGAGACTGCTCAGAATACAGACTATCTCTTCAAAATTTTTGCTGCAGGGCACCTGGGTGGCTCAGTCAGTTAAGCATCCAACTTCTGATTTCAGCTCTGGTCGTGATCTCAGGGTTCCTGGTTTGAGCACTGCATTGGGCTCTGTGCTAACAGCATGGAGCCTGCTTGGGATTCTCCGTCTATATCTGCCCTTTTTCAACTCATGTTTTCTCTATCAAAGCTAAATCCATTAAATAAAAAGGTCTTTCTTGCTCTTTCGTTTATAAAGTGAAGTTGATGGTTCATCCATTTCAGTAGTTCTTAACCCAGTTTGCAAGAAGAGAATCACCTATGGGTCTTTTAGAAAATATACGTGATGAAGTTCGAGTGGGTCCCAGACATCCAAATATGTTTTTAGCCTCCCATATTCCCTCCCCGAGGCGATGCTACTGAGTTTCCAGGGTTGGTAATCACAGAGCTATTCACACAATTGTTTTCTGCTATCTTGAGAACTAATGCCACATAATGGCATAATAGACCTTACAGCTAGACTGCCTGGCTTCAAATCCTGGCTACCACTTTTTACCAATGTGAATTTAGGCAAGGCACTTAGCCACTCTGATCCTCATTTTTTCAAATGAGGACTGTGGTAACAACAGAACACACATCATACATGTGAAACAACCAGGCTAGTGTCTGGCACCTAGAATGTAGCATAAAAATGTATTAATAAATATTTAATTCTACTTTCAGCACTTTTTTATTTCAAAATCTCTCCCAAACGTTAAGGTGAGCCTTGTTTATCTGTATATGATTTATGCATTTTAAGTGGCTAACAAGTTGGTGTTCCTAAGCAATGCATTAGGATTTTGTACCGTTCCTTTGTTTCATCATCCCCATGACTAACTTGTGCGTGCTCAAGAAAATCCAACTGATTATACAATTTCAGTAAAATTGGATTAATTATACCCTCACTTTTTCTCTAAAAGGGTTTTGGGCAGGTATCTTACAAAATTATTATTATTATATATATATTATTGAAAAAACATATATGTAATTATATATAATATAATATAATATAATATAATATAATATAACAAGTTAAGAGAGCTAAATACTAAAATCAGAGCAAAAGATAAACAAGGGTAGGAAGATAAATTAGCCTTTTAATTTTAGCTCTCAAGAAGGCACCCTATAAGGTCCTGTACTCTTCCAGCCCAGGCCCACATCACTCATTCAGGGCTAAATTCATAACAAAGTGATATTTTACATTATCTGTGCAATAGTTTTCCTGTTAACACAGGAACAAAAGGATGACTTTTATTATTGTTGTCTTCATAAGCAGGAAAATTTAGGTTCTAAAAATGAAGCAAGTTATTCTACATGATTTTATGGGTTAGTGACAATGAAATACCAATATTCAGATGTTACTTGTTTTACCTAAGATGGCTTAATTTTATATTATAAGATAAAACATAAATCCTTTAAAAATACCTGCTAGACATTACTACCCCATAAAAGACAACCGTTTACATTCAACTGTTCAAAGAAACGAGTCTACAGGGCGTGCCAGATATGGCATTTATTTCCATTTCTATGATCCACTTTTATCAAAGCATGCAACCGCTTGTGGTTAGCTCTCAAGGCTATAAAAGGAGACTAATAGAAAGTTGAGCGGTCTGGCCTAGCATTCACCCAATCTCCTCTGGACATCCTTCCCCTGTGTTGCCAAACAGCTGTCACAAGGATACCGTACGACCTGGTGTGTAGGGCATCCATCCCAGAATGCAGGCAGATAGGTTCGTATGTATTCCCTCAGCTTGCAGTAAATGTGCCATGTTCCTGTGGACTGATCCACGAGGACAGGAGAAAGGCACAATAACTGTCAAGTCTAAATTTGTTAGAAAGACACTTAGTGCTCCACCATTATTGCCTGTGACCTTGACTGTGGCAGCATTGTATTCTCCGTGTCGGAGGAGGCAAGTTTGAGACAGTGCCCCTTAGTCACTGATGACATTAAACTCTTTAGGATTGATTTGTTTTGTGAATCTATTCCAAGACTAAAATTCTCCAAGGATCTTAAAAGTTTCAGGGCCTTTTCCAGGGAAAAGTCACGTGTATTAGTATCTATGTGAAAGTTTTTCTCCCATAGAGCTAACACTTACCTTAATCTCACTGAAAATGATAAGTTGGCAGGAAAAGGGGAACTATGAGGTGAATGTCTCCTAATTACTCTAATTTTAGTTTTGGGCTTAAGTTTGGTAGCGCCTGTCATATTTCAGACTGGTCATTTTTACTCATATTCTCATTTTACTCATATTTAACTCATATTCTTAACCAATCCATTCTAAAAGGTGAAGAATATTAGACTGTAGACACTCCATCTGTGCTTTTTGCTCAGAACATAAACAATTACAGCTTTTAATTTCCTTCTTTGGCTGCAAAATTACTGGTGGGCTGTGCTTAAAAATATAATTATCCTTCTTTATATGCCACTCACTGCCTCCCTCATAGGATAGCTATTATCACCAGAAGCATATTTATTCACTCATTGGTTACTATGGAGTGTTTATTAGGTACATGGTCCTGGGGTAGGGATTGTGGAGAACACAGACAGGAAAATCAACCAAGAAAACTTACGTGGTAGTAAGAAAAACATAGCTTTTCACGTTTGATTTGTTTTTGAATCCTAGCTCCATCGTTAATTTGTTGTGAAAATTCTCAACTATTTTCCTTAATCTATGTGTCTATCCTTAGGCTAGCTAGTTCCATACCTCTTGACTATAGCCATGTACTATTGAAATAGGGAAGTGTGTTTTCTAGCTTTGTTCCTTTTCAAGAATGTTTTTCTATTTGGGGGTCCCTTGAATCTCCATAAGATTTTAAGATCAGCTTGTCAATTTCTGAAAAAAAAAATGTCAACGGATATTTTGATAGGGATTGTGTTAAGTCTGTAGATCAATCTAGAGAGTAATTCCATCATAACAACATTGATTCTTTCCATCCATGAATATATCTTGCCGTTTATGTAAGTCTTCATTGATTTATTTTAATGATGCTTTGTAGTTTTCAGTGTACGTACACTGCACTTCTTTTGTTAGATTTATTCCTTAGTATTGTATTCTTTTTTGATGCTATTATCAATGAAATTGTTTTCTGGTTTGCTCATTTTTAAAGTACAGTAATATAACTGATTTTTGCACATTGGTTTTTATATCCAGCAGTGCTGAATTCATTTCATTAGCTCTAATAGTTTGTGTGTGTTTAACATAAAAATCACGTAGCCTATAAATAAAGATGTTTTTACTTCTTCCTTTCCAATCTGGATGCTTCTACTTCTTTTTTCTTGTCTAACTGCCTGGGCTAGTATCTCCAGTTTAATGTTCTGTAAAAATAGTGAGAATGAACATTATTTTCTGACTCCTGACCATAGGGGGGGAAACTTTCAATTTTTCACCGTTGATGATGTAAGCTGTTATTATTTTTTTCATGTTAAAGAAATTCCCTTCTACTCCTCATTTGGTTAAGTGTTTTTATCATGAAAAAAATTTGAATTCTGTCAAATGTTTGTCTGCATCTATTGAGATAATCATGTGGTTTTTATCTTTTGTCTACTTAATATACTATATTACAATGATTGATTTTCACGTGTTGAGTCAAACTGTATTTCTGGGTTAAAACACATTTGGATATTATTATTTTTAAACCACTGGTCTAGAACAATGTTTCCCCAGTGTAAGCATGGAACAAAAACTCCATAGGATGCTAATAGCTGCCCTATGGAAAAAAGAGGTACATTAGGTAAATTTAGGAAATGCTGGATTAGATCAAACAGGTTTTTGTACAGCAAAGTATCTCAGAGACTATAATATAGTAACACACTTTGCAAATCTCCAACAAGTAGGTATGGTATGCCATATTTTATAAACTTATCTGCAAAAGTATTTTGTGAGATTAATTTTCCATCAGACACACTGTAAGCAATGTTTGTCCTAAGAATTTTGATTAAACTTCTCTATCATGTAGTAGTGACCGAGAAAAGCTTAAAACTTACAGGATCATCAACTGTAAATTATATGCTAATGTCTAGAAAAATTCAATCAATGTACAATAAATATTTATAAAGTGTCTATTACGTGCCAGGTATTCTTCTAGGCACTGGAAAGACAGCAATGGGAAAACATGACAAGAGAAATCTCTGCTTTTGTGGAGCTTACATTCTGGAAGAGAGGCAAACAATGAATGTAAAACTCATGCAACTTTTAAAGTATGTTAGAAAGCATTACATATTACATAAAAAAGAAAAATCAGGTAAGCTCTTTGACATTATTAGCAATGATTTCTTAGATTTGACACCAAAAGCAAAGGAAACAAAAGCAAAAATAAACAAGTGGGACCACATCACTATGAAAGCTTCTACACAGCAAAGGAAACCACTAACAAAGTGAAAAGGCAATGTACTGAGTAGGAGAAAATATTTGCAAATCATGTATCTGATAAGGGGTTAATATGTTAAAAGTATTTTAAAAAGCCCTCCACAACTCAATAGCAGAGAGAGAGAGAGAGAGAGAGTGAAAGAGGGAGAGAGCACATGTGCAAGCAGGGGATGGGGGAGGAAAGGGAGAGAGAATTTTAAGGAAGCTTCATGCTCAGCACAGAGCTCAACACGGGGCTTGAACTTACAACCATGGATGCTCAACCGACAGAGCCACTGAGGTGCCCCAAGAAAGTAGATCTTGAAAGTCCTTAGGTGATGTATGTTAACTAGACTTACTGTAGTTTTATTTTTTATATTTTTATTTTATATCTTATTTATATTTATGTATTTTATTTGCTATATCATATTTAAAATTTTTAAATATATATGATATTTTATATATATGTTTAATGTTTATATTTTATTATATTATTTATATTTATATATTTTATATATTTTGTTTCATATCACAATGTATGCAAATATCAAATCATTACATTGTACACCTGAAACTCATATAATGTTATATGTTGATTATACATCAATTTAAAGACAAAGAAAAAGGGAAATTGGTTTAAGGAGACTTAGAAATTCCGGGTGGGAAGATAGGTAACACATTGCAATATTTAAGAGGATGCTCGGGATAAGTCTTGTTTAGAAGAGAAATGTAAGAGAATATCTACCTTGTTCAAAAACAGCAATGAGGTCATTATGGTTGAAGCAGACTGAGTGAAAGGGAGAGTAGGAGCAGCATTATTATCTCTAACTTGGATTATTGCAATAGTATCCTAATTTCACTGCTTCTACCTTTAGCTCTTCCCCCTACCCCATGGGGTGAGAGTAGATTCTGTGTGTGTATAAGTAGAGGGGTATGGGGGTGGTTGTGGTGGTGCTGTTAGGTAAAAATAGAAGCAATGAAATTAGTTAGGCTCTTTTTCTTTTTCCTTTTTTTCAAGTTTATTTATTTTGAGAGAGAGAGAGAGACAGAGAGAGATACACATTTCATCCTTAGGGCAAAAATGGGCTTTTCCAGGGCAAGTTAAAAACAACAATAACAACAACAACAAAAAAAACCTCTAGCAAGTGGAGGAGGGACAGAGAGAGAGGGAGAGACAGAATCCCAAGCAGGCTCCATGCTGTCAGTGATGCTGGGCTTCAACCCACAAACCATGAGATCATGACCTGAGGTGAAATCAAGAGTCAGACCCTTAACTGACTGAGCCACCCACGTGCCCCAGTGAGGGGTCTTTTTCAGTAATTCAGGGTCCAGAGGGTGGAAGCTTCAATACTGAGCAATGAAGACGAGAAGAAGTGTTCATATTCTGAGCATTTTGAATATCCAGTCAACAGTATTTCCTGGAAGCTTGGATAAGAGTTGTGAGAGGAGAAAAGTCAAAAATGACTCTAAAGTTTTAATTCTGTGCAAGTGTTAGGATAGAGTTGCATTAGCAGAGAAGGGAAAGTATGTGGGTGGAACAAGTTTGTGGAGGAAAGTCAACATTTTAACATTTTGGAACATGTTGCATCTGCAATTTCTATTAGATCTTTTATGCGTGCTAACTCAGTATAGGAATAAAGACACATACATCTTTTACCTAATACCGGTAGAGACACCAACCTGCCACTAGTTTACATTATGAATAACTAAAGAGATGAGGGGAAAAATCCAGAATTGAATAGATGCTATTTATACCATCTATTCTTTAATTTGTGTCCTCCCCTCCATTTTCCAGGAAGTTGACTCCTTTTTAGAATTTGCCTTATTTGTGGACTAAAGAGCTCTTGCTTATTTTTTGATCCTGTTTTACCAAACCACCCACAAAACAACAAACAACAAAACATGAAAAACAACAAAACTCCTCCCGTTGGTCTTCTACAGAGTGAATAATCATTCTCCAGGCTTCTGTTTTTAAAATGCACACCTGGGGCTGACACGTAACTGTGAATTAATTAATGAGACTACTTCCCTCCAGCAAATGAAGAGGTGATGGAGGCAACAGGGAAAGTGCTAGTGACTGTGGAGAGGAAACTATATAGCCTGCAGGCTGTAGATTATCAGGAAGGGTGTGGCACTGCTGCCTGTCATCCCTGGCGTATCTTGGGCTATGTTTCCCAGCTTCCTTTTCACATGACTGAGTTCCAGCCAGCGGACCGTGAGTAGAAGTGGTGTGTGTCTCTTTCCCAGGCCTGGCGCAAAAAACCTTTCCACCTCATGCTATTTATTCCTTCCCCTTGTCATTGGTCGTAGACCAGCATGGTCATATTAGAAACATGTTGAAAATAATGGAGCCAAAACTAGAAGGAGCCTGGGTCTCTGAATCTCTGCTCAAAGGAGACCATCTGTCAAAAAAGAACTCTCATTTTGGACTTAACACGAGTAGGGAATAGATGTCTACTGTATGTGAGCTATCATACATCTGTAAGCTTATTTGTTATAGTAGCTAACGGTCTCGAAGCTAATACAAAGAGAGAAATTGGGGTTCCCAAGCACACTTGTTTACTGCCCACATTTATCTATTTAGCTCTCCAGTTTGAAGCCAATTATTCCCTTCAAATCTAAAAGCAGTTGAGGAATCAACTGGGCAAGTGGGATCACAAGTGCATACCTTTAAAGGTAAGGTTTAAATCAAACTCATGGAGTATTTCATGTACTATACTACTAACTTCAGCATAAATTCAAAGATGTAAATCTTTGAGGCTTGAGAAATTGGCAGCATTACTGAGATATTCAGTTTTCCCAATTTGATTTGCACTGCCAGCTAAATCTGTTTACTCAGTGCATGGTGGCATTTAGAGATCTGATTCAATGCTCTACTTGAAAATTTCTGATCATACTTTTGGATCAGAGCCTTTCTCAAATATTACATCTTTTGTAGGGCAGTATTCATTACAGAAATGTTTTCTTAGAAGTTTTTTTTTTCCATTTCTAATATATCCATTCTTAGGATTTATAGGCATAGAGAGTAAAGGCCATATTTTAAAATGAAATACATGTGTCTTTCAAAGAAAAATAAATTTGTTTTCAACATGAAGGACATCTTCTGCAATAGCTCTATGTCCAAAATATATTCTTCAAAACAAAGCACACAAATTACAAAAGGGTATAGATTTTCTAATCTTATACTGGGAGGAAAAAGACAAATTAATATTCTTTAAGGAAATAAAAATATTTGAACGTTTTATGTACAAATTCAGATACTTGTAATAAAAATCTTCCAGTATGTAAACTCTGGTTTAGTTTTCTGTGAAAATGGATACTATAATAATATGTGAACATTGTCAAGCTCCTCGTTCAAATATCTCCTTTAAGTAGATGACATAAGATCCTAAATATATTTAGTTTACCTTGCAATATTCCTGATGATAATAATAATATTGATAATAATAATAATAATAATGTTTTATTGAGCACTTACTATGTGTTAGGAGCTACATAAAGTAATTATCATGAATATTTTTATGTAACTCTCACAATGACCTTATGAAGAGACAAATATTATTTTCTGCCTTCCTAGTGAGGAAATTGAAGCACAGATGAGTTTAATGACTTGTTCAAAGTTATTTCTAGTGTGTGGAGAGCTGGGAATTGAACAGTCTTTGCAGCTTGGCTCTATAGACCATGCTCAATATTCTTGGAATATTGGGCTAACATATTAATATTGGACAAACATATTAAGTCCCTTTTATTATGTGCAAATCAATTCATTATTTTTATTAATGACATTACATATCAGGCATTAAAATAATACCTAATGCAAGAAATTTAAAAAAGAAACTATTAGTACTTATCTTTATATTAGTGCATATGCTTAAAGTTATTCTTATGGTTATATAAGTATAGTTAAACTTGTAGTACTTATTATGAGAAATACAGTAGTTATTGTATTTATACATATATTAATACATTAGTGCTATCTACTATACATAAACTAAATCACAGTTTAAATACTGGGAAATTTTTTAACTTATTATTACCTAAAATGTAGCAAAAACCTTAAATATTTAATACAATACACATATATATACTATACCATATGCTAATATACTATACTAAAGAAACTTTCAATCATATAAATAATAATCACTATAAAGTACAATTAAATAAAATATTAAAAACCTCATTGTTTTGTGCTCATCTAAGGAAAATTCAGTATTATTTATGTGGAAAGTATGAAATACATTAAATAAAGTGCTGGTGACATCTTTAAAAATAAAAGTAAGATTTGGGGGTATTAAATTGTTTAATGTCCTTGCATATCTTCAAGTTGGCAAATATATTAATATTTACGTTAATATTAAATTCTGCTGAGTGAAAGATACACATTTCATCTTTAGAGCAAAAATGGACCTCTTCAGGGCAAGTTAAAAAAAAAAAAACACCATTAGTCCAGTGTCTGGCATAGTTTGAATAAATGCTAAAATACATAAATATTAAAGAGTTGTGTTAGGCAGGTTTCTCCAGAAAAACAGAACAAGTAGGATATACATGGATATATACATATAAGAGAAGATTTATTATAGGAATTGGTTCACATGTTTATGGAGGCCGAGAAGTCCCATGATCTGCAGTCTGCAACATGAAGAGACAGGAAAACTGGTGATATAATTCAGTCCGGTTCCGAAGGTCTGAGAAGTAGGAGAGCTGATGGTGTAAGTCCCAAAGTTGTAAGGTCCCAAAACCTGGAGCTCTGATATCTGAGGGCAATAGAAGACGGATATCGCAGCTTAAGAAGAGAGAGTGAGAATTTGCCCATCCTTCATCTTTTTGTTCTATTCAGGCCCTCTACTGATTGGAAAATGTCCACCTGCACTGGCGAGGGCAGGTCTCTTTACTTAATCTAATTCAAATGGTAACCTTTTTCAGAAACACTCTCAGGGACTCACCCAGAAATAGTTCTACCAGCCATGTGGGCATCTCTTAGTCTAGTCAAGTTGACACAAAAACAGACAAACAAACAAACAAAACCCCCAAATATTGACACATAGAATTAACCATCTCCAGAGTGTTTCCAAGTAAAAAGGTCCATTTAGACCTAGTTCATATCAATAATAAAAGGGATTCATCATCTAACAAATTTATTATCTGTATTAATTTATAAATAGTTTATTTATTTATTTATTTTTTTTTTTAAATTTTTTTTTCAACGTTTATTTATTTTTGGGACAGAGAGAGACAGAGCATGAACGGGCGAGGGGCAGAGAGAGAGGGAGACACAGAATCGGAAACAGGCTCCAGGCTCTGAGCCATCAGCCCAGAGCCCGATGCGGGGCTCGAACTCACAGACCGTGAGATCGTGACCTGGTTGAAGTCGGACGCTTAACCGACTGCGCCACCCAGGCGCCCCAATTTATAAATAGTTTTAATGGCGCTGAATTAGTTCTTATAATAAGTTTTTGCTCCTATGCAACTTTTGGTCTATAATGTTTTGCTTTGTTTTATTTTTTACATTTTTAATCTGATTATCAGCCATTTCTTCATAGTTCAAGAAGTCAATGATAGACTAATTCAATCCATGTCAAGTAATCATGGTTTATAAATTAGTAGTTTTGGAGTTAATGAAATGATATTGGAGTGCTTAGCCTAGATAACTAGAAAGACATGTTCAAGAGCTGCATTGACCATTACAATAGCTATTAGCTCCATGTGGCCATTTAAATTTAAAATGATTACAATGAAATACAATTAAAAATTCAGTTACTCATTTGCACTAGTGGCAACTGAATTGAACAGCACAGGTACAGAACATTTCAATCATCACAAGACATTCTACCAGACAGTTTTGTTCTAAAGAAATTGAGCACTTTTTTAAATGAATCAATTATGTTCATAGATAATTTACAAATGTCACTTTTGCTGGCAAATTTCTTATTTTCCATACACTTTTCCAAGCATACCTTTAATAACATGGCTGACCTAAGTTTGAAGTCTTACCTTCCTCTTGCTCAAGCCCTGGAGAAGTTACTCAACATGGGAAAAGCATGCCTAAAGGAAGCAAGTAGGAAAGGAAAAAGCAAGAGGCAGGAAAATGCACAAATTGAACAATCAGCTTTTATGAGATCAAGAAGATTGTCCATAACATACCATAGATGAATTATTTAGTCTTATAACTTTTGGTGAATAAAAATTTCCTTAAATGAGATATAATAGAACTCTATTATATATAGTAGTCTATATAGTAGAGTACTATATGACTCATCAGTTGGGTGATTAGCCTAACATCAAGTAGTACAAGTAAAAAAAAAAAAGAAATTAGAAACAGCTAATTTAAAAGGATATAGGTAAATTCCAAGCTACTCAATAACAGTGTCATCCAAACTGCTGCAGAGAGTAGAATTTTTCTGTGATGCTTCCACACATACAAAGTTGGGGTTCCCAGTCCTTCCTTCCTTTCAGCAGTCAGCCCCCTTCAGTGGGCTCTTGATGTCTAGGTTTCCAAACACAACCACTACGGCTTGTCTAGATACTAATCTCCTACTTTGAACTTTTCCATCTGGGATTTCTTTCTCAGACCTAACCAAAAAAAAAAAAAAAAAAAAAAAAAAAAAAAAAAAAAAAAAAAAAAAAAAAAAGGAAAAAAAATTCAAGTGGGGTTTCCAAGGCAATGGCATAATATCAGCTATTTAAATGTTCCAGAAAAGTTCCTAGGGGTGCCTGGGTGGCTCAGTCAGTTAAATGTCCAACTCTTGATTTTGGCTCAGGTAATGATCAGGTGAGATTGAGCCCTGTTGGGTTCATGCTGACATCATGGAGCCTGCTTGGGATTCTCTCTTTCCGTCTCTCTGCCCCTCCCTGCTCACACTTTCTCTCTTAAAATAAATAAATGAACATCAAAAAAAAAAAAAAAAAGAAAGAAAAAAGTGTTCCAGAAAAGTTCCTATTTCCATTACAAATACATTCATTCGTAGCCTCTTGCTGACCCAATTATGGTATCTCACTGTAATTAGATCTGTTACGGTTACCATCTTTTCTTTTTCAAACTGCATGCTAACTTGTCTCTTTTTTAAACACAATGTAATAAATATTAGATTTCAAAAATTCACAAAAACAAGCAAAAAGAAAAAGGTGTTTGCGCATAAGCGGAGAAATAATTCACCGCGGTATTTAATCTTTGTCTTTTTAAAACAAACTCTAGCTTTGGGAGGAATACTGCAGGAAATAGAAAAGGAAACAATGTCTCACATGATTCCAAAAGTAGTTGAGGCATTATAAATAAAATATTTAGCTGTTTAACCAAATTTTTTTTATCACCAAGCAATCCTGAGTTTTATGACTTACTATGATTGTTCATAGTAAGTCATCAATTTATGTAAGATACATCAATTTCATCTAGAGTAGAATTAACAATATTTATAGGAGTATTTCAGGAAGTCTTAAATCATTTTGGTGGCTTTTTTTTGAACTGAGAAGAAAATAAATACTAAAAATTGTAACATCTAATGGTACCTTCTTAGGCTACTGTGTGTAATCACCTGCTGGTTGTCCATTTGACATAAGACATGCACGTGCCATACTGGGCATATTCTAAAGAGCTTTGAGCCTCCTGGAGTTACAATTTCTAGCACATTTTTCTTTACTCGGAGGAGAACCACAGTATTTTCTGGAGGTAATATTTA